AGTAAGGCGGCTCACAGCTCAGTGTCCTCTGCTCTAAACACACTGGACACACACTCTAATCATAACGTTTAGGACCACTTTGAAGATCGACAGCTTCTAATTGCCAAGTGATCTCTTCATTAGCTTACTACTGTTGTTGCTGCTGTTGCTGCACTTTGTGCTTCTTTAAAAAGTCTTTTACTCATTTAAATGCCATCCCGATGGCGTTTGTGTCAAGTGGCAATTAGTCAAAGTTACTTTCAGGGAGTAAGTAGTAGCCATTCGCCCGCGTTCCCATATTCATACTGAAAAGTGGTGATTTTGATGGTGGTAATAATCAGGGTGAGGGCACCAGCAATTCCTTGCACATCGTCTCGGCTGCTGCTGCTGCTGTTGCACTTGCCATCTATTTCAATGTTCGAAATGAGAAAAGTTAGATGAGAAAGGAAAAATGACCGCAAAGTCGTCGTTTGAACAAAAAAATACTAAACAGCGAAAATTCAATCAGCTCACTAGCTGATGAGCACAATGGAGAAAATGGAAAAAAGTCTTCAAAAGGCATAATTCGAGTAAATATTCATATTGAGCCACTCCTAAGTGTGAAAGCGCAGACACAGGTACTGAACTGGGCAGCAAAGCACTTACCTTATTGCTCTGTTTCACTCGGTCCCAAAGAATACCACTCTTGTCCGGTGTGTTGTTTGTATGTTTGTGGGCACTGCACAGTCGCACAATTAATGGGCCTCAGTGGAGCGGTTAATCATCAGCTCAGTTGATCATTGCTTGCTCATCACCCACTTTAGGCTGACCATCACATCAGTCTGTCAGGTGAATGTGCAAACAAATGGCCAGGTCAACGCTTACTGGGCTGCATTTGCATTCATTGTCCTCTGAAAAGAAAATAATAAAAAGCTGCTGCTGTTGTTGTTTCCGTAGCCACCAAGCTCTGGTATTATCATCATCTTTTGCATCTACCACAAGATGCTTCCTACTATCAAAAGTGAAGTAGACGACTGTTAGCTGTTGATGGTGTTCACCTCGCCAAGGGCGAGCTTAATTAATTGTGGCTTGGTAATTAAATATTTATGCACTGTTTGCTTAGGCAATTAATCGCCGCCGTAGACAGCGCGCCGGACAGCCGCTAATCCGCAAACGCCAAGATCTGATCGGAATGGCAACAATGGCAACGATGGCTTGAGCCAGGTCAGCAATCACTGTCAGAGAAAAGAGAGGGAAACAGAGATTAATTTGGGACCACCGATGACTGAAGGCGCAAGGAGATGGATTGGACAAGTGCTGGCCATCGACGAGGCCTCTCTCTCTTTTCTTCCAAGTGCTGCTGGCCTTTGGCCAAGGGCCAAACATGTCTGTCAGCACTTGCCAAACGCTCTTTTATTCGACCACAAACAGTACCCCCACTCAGCACTCTATCGCCGGTGAGCATTAATGAGCTTTTGGGAGGCAAATGCTGCTGCTGCTCGAGTTTGCTTGAGAAGACATGCAAATAATCATTAAACTACCTGGTACTAATCATTGCCAATTTGCCTTCTATTCTTGGCATTATGTGGTATGATCTTCTAATGTAATATTATTCATGGCTGCACATTAATTACTGAAGCGCCGCATCACAGAGTGCCCCCTCTTTCCCATCTGCCCCAAATTCATTTACCACACAGACACATTTGACCAAAAATACATCACTTGAACAAACTCTGTCGTTGCCACAGAAAACTTCACAAACAAAACAGCCTAGACTTGAATGCAAACGTTTGTGGTGTCACTGTTGTGCATGCACTCGCCACCATTATCACCACCGCTACCACTACCATCATCACATGGGAACACTACTTTTTTAGCCGACTTGAGATTCCCTGAGCAGTAATCGATTTGTTAGTCATCGATTACCGCTGCTGCTAAATGGATCACACAGCAGCACTCTTTAAAANACAGAAAACTTCACAAACAAAACAGCCTAGACTTGAATGCAAACGTTTGTGGTGTCACTGTTGTGCATGCACTCGCCACCATTATCACCACCGCTACCACTACCATCATCACATGGGAACACTACTTTTTTAGCCGACTTGAGATTCCCTGAGCAGTAATCGATTTGTTAGTCATCGATTACCGCTGCTGCTAAATGGATCACACAGCAGCACTCTTTAAAACATATTTCGAGTAAGCCAAGAAAAATGAAGTCAGTGCTGCACTGTGTACTCAAATTAAAGTGTCAATTGCCCAAGCACCGAAGCAGGCCGGACGGGCAGGCTGCTGTTGCTCTCCTGACTGGCTCCTAATGACACAAAGATTGATGATTGAGGTGTCGAATGTTTTGCCTGTACCGAGCCTGAGAGACATCGATACGGCCATTAAATGGGCACTTGCTAATGATGCTGCGATGCAGTGTGTGTGTTGTGCCAGCAAGCAACTAACTGTGCCCAAGTGTTTTGCAAACACCTTGCTACTCGAGAAAAAAGTGGCTGCGTGGCCAATTGGCGATTCCGCCATTACCGCTGGATCGATGTTTAGAGATATGCAGCAGCAGCAGCAAGCATACGTGTAATAGCACTTTCATTCTCACTACAGTGAATAGAGGTGGTCCTTCTGGGCAGCATTAATCGAGAGCTTAATCAATCATCGCAATCATCGGGTCCAAACACAACCGAGCCGATACACATCTGCCGCACCGGAGCTGCACATCAATGGATCACACAATTTGTGCATTCATAGCCGATGACACCACTCTGGAGATATCACTTGACGTTTGACTTATTTTACTTCTTTAATTTTGAGCTTCTAGTTTATGTACAGTAATTCAGGCATTTTCTTGAAAACAAGTGATGACTTTTGGTTTCGCTAACGAACCATTTGATTGCCTGGCGGATCGCCTGCCTCGGGAGTTCCAAAATAGCGGAATGGCTCAGTTGCCTCCCACTCATGGGTAAACCGCTCGTCGTCAAAGTTCTGCGCCATGTAGTACCAGGCCTTGTTGTCAGACTTTGTAGCCATCATTGCCTTAAGTTCGCGCTCAATCTTTCTCAAAATTATGATTTCCGAATCTTCAGTTACTCTGGCAACATGAGTTTCATAGTCAAGCGACTTGTCGTACAGAAAGTATTTCGCAAGAAATCGAGTAATAGGAGACTATGAAGTTAAAGAAAAAAATGTATGAGTAATCACTACGAACATAAGAGGGCTGCTTGAACAAACCTTGTAGTACTCCCAATAATGAGGAGTGTATCCCTCTGGAATTTCCGTCAAAGTTGCCTGGCCAATGAAAACGTTGGCATAGGTGGTGATGAGGGCTAGCGGCACTATTCCAAGAAGAAGATAAAAATGGAGCTTGTCCTTAAATCCATTCCACATGTACTGAGATGGTTGAATTTTCATCTGGGGACCATGTCCGCTAAAGCGGGCCGAAACTTAAACACAAAAACAAAATTATCAAAGTGAATAAAAAAGTAAGTATATACCAAACACTTACACTTTGCAGGCGACCCAACTCGAGTCAAAACACGAAGAGTACTCAACAGGGCCATGGTTGTTGACTTGAATCGGCAAGAGATGCCTCAAATCAAGAAAATGTGATCAAAATAAAGTCAAAAGGTGATGTTTTCAGAAGATTGAATGAACAGCGCCACTGAACGCTATGGACACTCTTTTGGCCGCTTTGGGTAGAAATAGATGATTAAACTAAAAATTTGAATTTTTTTCAAATTCAGATAACTGATTCGTAATTTGGGTTTTAATTGTAAAAAAGATTGCGTAAAAATATATTTAAGATAAAAAAGAAAGCAGTAAAAGGCGGGTATTGTGAAGAAATCATAAAGTGGATTCGAGTAATTAAGTGGTAAAAAGGTGTTTTCCGGACTCAAGACGACTGGCTGGATATCACAATGTGTGGGATCACAACGAATAAAATCACGCAAAGGTTTACCGAAAATCTTCCTGATCTACAAGTGAATTTAAGCAAAAGAAGCTATTGAAGTTGAATAGACAAAATCGATCCAAATGCTCAAGACCAGTAGAGCGAAAGTTCAGTGGACATTGCGGTAGAACCTTGCACTGGTCAATTACTTTCTGCAGGTAGTTCTCAAGATACCGCCTGCGATTTTCAATGACCTTTTCATTCATATTGTTCCACAGTCTTTTGCGTGGAAACAGTGGCATGTTTATCCGATTCCCGTACATTGCCCGGATGAACTTGTGCAGCTGCAGAAAGCTTCGGTAACGGCGGAAGATTGTCCACTTGTCGCTGTTGATGCCAATCTGAAAACCAAATTGAACAAAAATGTTAATAAAAGTTAAAACACGTTTGATTAAGGAAATACGCACTTTGATCTCATATTCGTAGTGTTCATCGGGATGATAGAGAATGTGAAATGCAGGGATGTATATTTCAATTTGATCAAGCTCTTCGTAGGTCACAGACAGTGAACGACCCACTTTGGTGGCGTGTTCCCTCGGAGAAGTGCTCGAAAGCAACGGCGTCGAGCACATGAGCTCCTTTGGGACGAGATTCAAGTTGGTGGCTTCAAAACTGTGCTCTGAATTAGTGGTTGTGCGTGAGTCAAAGGTGCTGCCCTGAAGGTGCAGCTCCAGGCGTCGTTGCACTTCACTTTCGATGATCTCTTCCAGCGACTGGCCGTTCGCCGGCTGCTGCTGCTGACTAGATGTGACTGGGGTGACGGTCGAGTTTGAGCTTGTGATACTGTTAATCTCCGAGCTGGCCGCCTGATTGGCAATGTTTAGCTGGTTGACGCACTGACTGAGCAAAGCCATGTTTGAGTCGACTTCAGAGGCAAGGTGACACAATTGGCCGTAGGCGGATTCGGTCAATGCAGATTCGGCCATCTGCTCGCCGCTGTCGCTGGTAGTACTGGTGGTGGTGGTACTATCATCCACAGTGGAGTTGTTGCTTGCAGCTTCATTGTTGTTCATGTAGTCGAGCTTCATCTCGTCCTTCACCTGCACTTTGAGGGTGTTCAACTTGGCCATCAGAAAGTCGCCCACCTTTTGGATGGCCGCCTCGTCTGATCCCCTCACATCATTGAGCTCCAGTTTGTTGATGAACGAGAGAATGGTCAAAATTCGCTCCTTTGAGAAGTGTTCATCTTTGCCAATTTGAACAACAATATCCACAAACGTTTCCATCAGACTTCGGGTTGGCTCTTCACTGTCGCACTTTATAACTCGCTGAAGTTCAAGCAAGAAAGCCTTTATGAAATTGAGCTCTTCATTGACGAGGGCAAACTTGTCCGACAGGCAGCTGGTTTCAGCATCTGAAGAAGATGTAGCGTTTTGAATTCCTTCCTCATCGTTTTCATTCAGTCCGTGACTAGAGGCAAAGCTACTCATGAGCGCCTTCTTATTGTTGATGGAGTTGACAGAGGTGTACATGCTGTCGTATGAGGTAGAGCTAATCAAGTGGGATGAGCGATTGAGAAAGGAGGTGTCCTGGTTGGCCTTTTGCTTCAAGTTTTTCACCTCAAGTGGATTACTGAAACGGTACATGTTCTCGCCAAAAACAATCAGACAACCCTGATGGAGGACGGTTGGCCCTTCGACGAGGGTATTGTTGACAAAGCAAAGCGCCTTGTTGATTGGATTTAGCGTCACCACATTGTCCTTGCTATTCCAGTGAATGGTACAGTGCTCATCTTCCACATCAGAGCCGCCGTTAATCACGATGTCTTGCTTGGTGTCGGCAAACTTGGTGCCTATTGAGGTAGTGCCGTCGTTCAGGTGGTACAGCGTGACACCGGTGCTGAGGACATCGTCATCAACGCAGACGATCAGGTGGGGTCGATCAGAGTCGAGGATGAGACCAAAGTTGCCCGACTTTCGGATGGCAATAAAGTCCTGCTCCTTGAAGATGCTTTTGACGTCGTCCCACTTGTTCATCCATTCTTCAGTCAGCTTGTTCACCTTCGCCTCGCTTTCCTGGATTCGCCCAGTCAGCGTCGGGTTCTGATTAATCATCGAGTTGAGTCGTTCAATTTCAGAGCGCAGCTCACGAATCAACTTTGTCTGAACGTCCTCGTTGATGTGCGGCTTGTTGAGAATGTTCTTTGCCCGATTCGCATACCTCAGCGTGTTCAGTGTTTCGCCGTAGTTAACATCGGCTGGAGAAATGGTGGCCACCATGACTAAACAAACGGAGATTAGTTTAACAGTTTTAAACAAAAAACAAAGTCTGAACATCTTACCAGTCTTTGAGTTGCCTCCTAAGCTGTCTTTGAGAAGCCAAGTGAGGATGGAGTCACGATAGGGGATAAAGCTTTTCTTTTTATTATTCTTTTTGCAGTTCTCTGCCAGTATGGAAATGACGCTGCCCAGTGTGACTAATGATTTGTTAATGTGGCTACCTGGAAAGTGGAAATGTTTAATTGTGTTAGTAGTTTTGATCATCGAAAATGAACACAAATACCTTCAACGAGACGTTGTCCTTGCGCGTTAGTGGCATTAGCGCGCTCACTGCCAGCAAGGTCGACCAGGTTGATTTTAGATATCGTCTCGTAAGGATTATTTGCCACGTAGGACGCCTTGCTGAACGAGATGGTGAAGATAGCGTGAGAGCGAGAGCTGGTGTCATTCATCTGCAAAAAAGGTGTATGAGTTATTCGGGAAATCTTTGAAACACTGTGAGGCACTTACACTGGTAGCAGCAGTGGTTCGATTGGCGTTGCCCTTTTGCATGAGCTCGAGAATCTCTTCATACGAGCAAACCATGTGCTTTGAAAGCTTCTCTACGTAAGGGCCCTTCTTCGGATCTTCGCGAACTTTCAATGGTCGCCGAAAGTTGCCGTTGATGTCCTGGTTACTGTCCAACAAGTCTCGAACTTGCTCATTGTAAATTTCCAAGTAGCTTATTTCTGTAAATCGAATTTGTAAGTTACAGTTTACACAGTGCCTAATTAGCTAAACTATACCAGTCCTGTTAGAAACAGTTTCGCTGTTCTTTTCAGTAGAGGACATCTGCTGGAAGAGCCACTGACAGATTCGAGGAATGAGACCCTCAGAGCTGCTATCGCCCATCATTGTGTGCGTTTTTCCCGATCCAGTCTGGCCGTAAGCAAAGATGCAGGAGTTGTAGCCCTCAATCGCATCCGATACAATCTCTTTGCCCAGGTGCTGGAAAACTAAGCTTTGAGAGGCAAAGTGTGCATCACTCTCATCAAAGGACCAGTATGAGTGGTCAAAGGTGAATTCTTTTGCATCCTCATCATGGCCAGAAGACTTGGGATTCTGTATTACAGTCTTGTTGTCGACCATGCGAATGATGTTGCTGCAGTCTAGATCGATCTCTCTGCGGAAAAACAACTGTTATTCTCTGACACAAAGAAGTAATATTTGGAGTTTACCTTTTATTGAAAGGCCGCACTCGGACGGCCACTTTGACGGAAGACATCTTTGAGGCGCGTGGAGAAAGCCCACAAAAGAAAAATGCAGAGAGCACTGATGTGGCGTCAACAGTAGATCAACAATAACAAACGTGTGATGATTAATCTGTCATTGCCTGGCAGACGCAGGCTGCCACTGAAGAATTGTCGGCCAGTGGGCTGATAAGATACGGTTGCATTGCGTCTTTCTCAACAAGTTTGCTTAGATGTCAACAGAGTAGCACAGACGAGTGGTGGTGGGAAGGCACTGGGAACACTGGCACTGGTAAGGACGGCGTCACCTGCTGGAAACTCGTCTGTTAGATGATTTTGCAGAAATATTCAATCACAGCCGTTTTCCAGGTAGCAACAACAGCAGCAGTAGTAGTGGTTTTGCCTGTTCGATTCTGCATCGCCATCATCATCATCATC